AATAGTGCTGATAATAATGTGGATTTCTGTGAACACCTGTATGGCGTTGTCGGGGGTCCTGAGGGCCAGTGAGGTGTGTCATGATGAACACCTGGAATACTGAGTCCATGAGTCACAGCATGGAAAGATAAAACCACAGAGCATGAAAGAGACAAGTGTTTTCTCAAAATCCTCCTACAAGGCAAGTGCTCACACCAGGCCTCTACTTGTGCTGGGTAATTTTACCTGTGAAATTGCTGTGTAATTTTGCTCATTCTTAAGAGATGAATAATGCATTTGTGTTTTTCCTCATATGAGTTTGGGTGTTTATTTACTCACTTTTTAAGGAGTAAAAAAATACAATTCTTGAAGTAATTTAGGCAAATAACTATCGGCTAAACTAAAATTAAATTGCATATGTAACCCCTTATTTTATTTATGCTGGTTAAAAAATTAAAACTAGTTCACAGTACCAATAGAAAGTACAGTAAAAGCTCAATAATATATATTATTACCTCTAATAAATGCTGGGTTGTTGTAACTCATTGGGTCAAACATGGATAAGCATAATGTTGGGTTATTTTTTTAATGTAATTACATGCTATTTAATTTCTAAATAACAGAATTTAGAAATAAATTATTACTGACATAAAAAATTAAAACTAATAAAAATAATCAAAAACACAAAACACGAGGTAAAAATATACATTGTTGATGTTCTGTACATTTTACCCATGAAAAGTATAATTTTATGTATTTAAACCTGTAAATAATAATAATAATATATAAAAATATTTTTTAAATATATGGTTATTTTTTATTATGGAAATATAGCCAACATTAACTTATTAATTTGAGTTAATGAGTTTTATTTATTTGTTCTTTTATTTCATTTTTCATTTTTATTTAATTAAATTTAATAATAATTTTTATGTATTTATTTGTTGTTAGTTATTTGTTTATTTCATTTTATTTATTTTTATTTTGTTTTAATGTATTTTTTAATTTTTAAAATTATTTTTTAAATTAATTAATTAATTTGTTTATTTATTTAGTTTTAATGTATTTATTTTATTTTATGTTTTATTTTAGTTTATTTTAGTTATTTATTTATGTATTTTATTTTAATTTGTTTTATTTTTTCTATATACTTTTTTTAATAATTTTTTGTTTGAATGTATTTATTTTTATTTATTTATTTATTTATTTATTTTTATTTTACATTTTTATATTTTGTTTTATTTTATTTTTATTATTTGCTTATTTTATTTATTAATTATTTTATTAATTATTTTTTTATTTTGTTTAATATTTTATTTTATTTTAATTTATTTATTAATAGTTTTTTCTAAGGGAAAAAGGGTGTAACAACAAAGTGGGCTTGCTGACATCATAAGAGCAGGAAAATAATTTCACACTGAGCAATGTGCTATATGCACAGCTAGTGTTTTTCAGCTAATGATGAACCGACAGTGAAAAGTTTATGGGACTATTTTCAATTTCATACGATTCATTTTATAGCATCGATGTTGTAATGTAATTCAAATATAATCAGGTAAATAGACTTCAGCATTCATTTAGTTGTTCAAGCGTAAAAAGAGACGAAAAACAGTTAAAACGCAGACGCCACCATTAGCAGCAGGCTAGTGCAGAAACTCCATTGAAAATACTGGGGTAAAATTAATTTCCATATTTTAAAAACATGGTGGGGGGATTAGAATTTAATGCAGTGCTTCTTGTTTGGTCTGATACCCATTTTATATCATATCTGAGTCAGGCAATGATGTTTTTAAAAAAAAAATAAAATCTTAAACGCAGTGATTTTGTATGGGATGACAAGTCACCGGAAGCCCTGGGGCTGGCTGACTAAAATTAAAAGTCTGTGTACAAAAACCCCATTTATTGCATCCTCATGACTTTTTTTCATTGGAATAATGTTTACCATTCAATAAAAGGCCAGCAGTGTTTATTCAAAAGCTCAGATGAATTTTAATCTGCTGCATTTTATGATAATTTTACACCTTACTTATAGGAGCTGTTTATTTCACATGCTTCATTTCAGCAGATGCACATTTGAAAACACTATTAGTTTGCACGAGATGTGAGTTCCCACTGTGTACTGTGAGGTTGCTGAGTAATAATCCAGTAAAGGACTTTCACATGTGTGAGAGCCAGTCTGGCTTGGCCATAGCGGGCCCTTCAGAGAGCCGGAGCCTTCAAAGAAACTGACAGCAAAGTGAGACCAACATAGGGAGGAGGTGCAACATTTGGGATTTGTTTGGGAGCAGAACAGGTTCACAAGGACAGGTTTATGCGGCCAGAAGGACATTTGATTGCCTTGCTCACATTTATATTTTCAGGATGTTGGTTTTGATTATTTAAATAACATCAGCATGACTTTTAAATTAATTAAAGTAGTGCATGCAACTTCCTTGTTTGATCTCCGCAAACACATCATGAAATAGTTAAACTGCACTGTTATGACCCGACCACTGCTTATAGCGTTAAACAGATGAGTTTTACAATTTTTGAATCAATACAGATGATCACTGAATCTGTCAGGAGCAATTTTAGCTTAGCTTAGCATAGCTCATTGTATTGGATTAGACCGTTAGCATGCAATTAATCACGATCAAAGTGTTTTGATAATTGTCCCTATTTTGTGCCGGCTACAGCACCGAAGTTCATTCACTCATTTTCCTTCGGCTTAGTCCCTTTATTTATCTGGGGTCACCACAGCGGAATGAACCGCCCAGCACCAAAGTCCCTTCGTTATTGTGTCAGAATGAGAGTATAGTTCCTAGCCTACTTTTAATAAATTTTTTTAGTGAGATCCTAATCTGATTCAATGATTTATACTAAGCTAAGCTAAAACTGCTCCTGCCAGACCTTAAAATTGCCTAATCACTGGGTCTGTCAGGAACAATTTTAGCTTAGCTTAGCATAGATCATTGAATCGGATTAGACCATTTGAAACGATTAAAAACGATCAAAGTGTTTTGATAATTGTCCCTTTTTTGTGCCGGCTACAGCACCGAAGTTCATTCATTTTCCTTCAGCTCAGTCCCTTTAATTATTTGGGGTCACCACAGCGGAATGAACCGCCCAGCACCAAAGTCCATTCGTTATTGTGTCAGAATGAGAGTATAGTTCCTAGCCTAGAAAATAGCAACTTTTTTTCTGGCAAAAGAGTCAAGTTCTAAATAGGGAAATTACAAAAACTCTTTTTTTCTTTTCTTTTCTTTTTTTTTCTTTTTTTTTCTTTTTTTTTTTACTGAGTGAGATGCTAATGGTCTAATCTGATTCAATGATTTATGCTAAGCTAAGCTAAAAGTGCTCCTGACCTGGAAATTGCCAGAATGGATTCAATAATGGAAAAACTCCTTTATTTATTTTGCCAGTACTTGTTGAAAAGGCAGTTTAACTCGATACTGGTACAAAAGGTAACAATAATTAAAACTAAACTGAAATAAAAAGTTAAAACTGACAAAAAAAAGTAATGGAAAACATAAAATGCATAAGAGATATTATTAGAATAGTTATTTTTATTATATATGGAAATATAGGCAACATTAGATCATTTTTAAAACCCTTTTTCCTTCATTGTGTTATTTTTAATTAAATTTAATTTAATGTTTTGTTTTGTTTGCTTTTTTATTTAAATTAAAATTATTTTAATTATTATTTAATTTAATTATTTTTTTATTTAAATAATTTTTTGTTTTAATTTATTTTTTGTTGCCACAGCGGAATGAACTGGCAACTTATCCAGCATGATTTTACGCAGCAGATGGCCTTCCAGCTGCAACCCATCCCTGGGAAACACCCATACACACCCATTCACAATCAAACACAACAGAAAATTTCACCTTCCCAATTCACCTATATCGCATGTCTTTGGGCTGTGGGAGAAACCAGAGCACCCAGAGGAAACCTACGCGAACGCAGGGAGAACATGCAAACTCCACACAGAAACGCCAACTGACCCAGCCGAGGCTCGAACCTTCTTGCTGTGAGGTGACAGCACTACCTACTGTGCCAGTGCATTTAATTTAATTTAATTTAATTTAATTTAATTTAATTTAATTTAATTTAATTTAATTTTATTTAATTTTATTTAATTTTATTTAATAATTAAATTTAATTTAATTTAATTTTTTGTTTGTTTTGTTTTCATTAAAATGTTTTTTTTTAATATCATTTTATATTTAATTTTTTTTCCCAGTGATGGGTTGCAGCTGGAAGGGCATCCGCAATGTAAACATATGCTGGATAAGTTGGAGGTTCATTCCACTGTGGCGACCCCAGATTAATAAAGGGACTAAGCCGAAAAGAAAATGAATGAATTAATTTTATTGTATTTTATTTTAATTTGTTTTGTTGTTTTTTTTATTTAAAATAATTTTAAAAAATGTATTGTGTTGTTTGGTTTTAATTTAAATCATTTTTATTTTATTTTATTTTAATTTAATTTTTTTTTTTTTTTTTTTGGTATTTTATTTTAGTCTAATCTGATTCAATGATTAATGATAAGCTAAAAGTGCTCCTTTCAGACCTGGAAATTGCCTGAATGGATTCAATAATGGTAAAACAACTGTTTAACTCGAGGGAAGCTATAAAATGAGCCTTTTCCAAAAAGTAATAGTTGTCTTATTGAGTTCTTATATTCAGGAATAGTATGTTTCTAACTTTCAGATTTAAAAAATAAGATATTACAATGAAGTACTTTTCAAAAAAAAAAAAATCCTGATAATGTGCCATCAATGGCTCTTACGTTTGCATACCACTATGTAAATGTCAACATCAGGCTAATTGTTATTCAAATGGAAGTGTTTAGCATTTAAAGAGGCAGTTCAGCTACAAATAAAAATCACCAATGGGGTTGTCTTAGGCTTTCATTGCATTCACAAAACAGATTTTCCCAAAGGAACATTATTCAAACGAGTTTCTTTTAAACAAGGAAATACAGATGACTGACTTTTTGCACTGTCCCTTTAAAAATCAGGAGGTAACAGATATGGTGTATTTAAAAAAAGCGTACATTTTATTTTTGTACAAAATCATACCATCCATTTACACTTTGCAATACAAAGTACAATCATATCAGTGTCATATACATTCAAAAAAACAATTACATGGCGAAATCTCTGAAGTTCCTGATGAAATAAAGGCACATGGCAGAAGTATTGCATGTCTGAGTGCTGGCTGACTGCTGTTGCGTTTGACCACACAACAGCTTAAATACTTGTAGTTCAAGAAAACATCACTTTGCACTTGTTCCCCGTTTTATTAATAAAAAAACATGGCATTAATTATTCCTTTGGTCTCAAGCTCATTGGGTTGAAATATCTGACCGATTACCTCTCCAAAAATGTTTAAAATACAAGTGACCGTCAATTAACATTCGGTCGCACTATAAATTATTGCTTTTTTAGAGAGGCGAGTGTTAAAAAAACCTCCCAAATAGTACATACTCGTAAACAAATGTACAGTACGCATCAGCTCAACCCCCAAATACAGGGCAAATACTGTTGAAATGGAAGGCACATGATGGTGTCCGCATGACAATCTGCGTTTGCACTGAAATGAATGAGTTCCTGCAAACAGTCTTTTCTTTTATGAGGGTGTTGAAGGTTCTCCAGCAACCAGCTCAGAGTCTTGGGTCAGTTTTAATTAAAGGGATAGTTCACGCAAAAACATGATAATTTCCTCACTGTTTACTCTCTCTTTAGTGTTTCCAATTGGTTTTAGTTGAACACAACAGAAGCTACTTTAAGGTATGTTCAAAACCCGAATTGACCTCCATAATAGGAAAAACAATGCAATGGAAGTCAATGGTTTTGTAGAAAAATAAAGAGATATTTTGAGACATGTTTGATACCTGTAACCATTGACTTCCATAATAAGAATAACAAATGCAACGGAAGTCAATGGTTACAGTGACTTTTATAGTAGGAAAAAGTAATGGAAGTCAATTGTTACCAGTTTTGTAATAGCTCCAATTGGTTATGGTTGAACACAAAAGAAAATATTTTGAGGCATGTTCAAAACCTCAAACCATTGCCTTTCATTAGTAGGACAAATAAATGGAAGTCAATAGTTACAGGTTTTGTAATGGTTCCAATTGGTTATGGTTGATCACAAAGAGAAGATATTTTGAAGAATGTTCGAAACCCTGTAACCATTGACTTCCACATTTGCAAAAAACAAAAAATGGAAGTCAATGGTTACAGTGACTTCTATAGTAAGACAAATAAATGGAAGTCAATGGTTACAGATTTTGCTTTGGTTCCAATTGGTTTTGGTTGATCACAAAAAGAAGATATTTTGAAGAATGTTTGAAACCTGTAACCATTGACTTCCACGTTTGGACAAACAAATAGAAGTCAATGGTTACAGACACTTCTATAGTAGGAAAATAAATGGAAGTTAATAGTTACAGGTTTTGTAATGGTTGCAATTGGTTATGGTCAAACACAAAAGAAGATATTATGAAGCATGTTTAAATGCTGTAACCACTGACTTCCATAGTAGGAAAAACAAATGAAAGTCAATGGTTACAGTGACTTCTATAGTAAGACAATTAAATGGAAGTCAATGGTTACAAGTTTTAGTGGTTCCAATTGGTTATGGTTGAACACAAAAGATGTTTTAAAGAATGTTTGAAACCTGTAACCCTTGACTTACATAGTAAAAAAACAAAAAAACAAATGGAAGTCAATGATAACAGGATTTGTAGTGGTTCCAATTGGTTATGGTGGAACAGAAAAGAAAATATTTTGAAGAATGTAACCATTTTGAAATCTGTAACCATTGACTTCCATAGTAGGAAAAACAAATCAGTCAATGGTTCAAAAGTCATTAACGTTTGGAACAAATAAAGGGTGATTAAATGGTGATTAAATTCTCATTTAGGCAAACTATCCCTTCAACGTGTAGCATCTTGGTTGGAATCTGACTCAACACAAACATTTGATTCATTCAGACCCTGGGGAGGTGCATTTTGAAATCGTCTTTTGCGATGCATTTTGCACTTCCTTTCCAGTTGAATCTGACAGGTCTGAGATCAGTCTTCCCAATCGGAGGCACTTGTTGAATGCAGGCCTCTCAGTGTGCGATGCAACAGCCAGATTCCTCATGTTTGTGCAGCAGCGACATGCGAGAGAATGTTTTAGAGCAGTTCTTGCACTGGTATTTCTTCACGTCTGAGTGGGTTTGCAGGTGGGCTCGGAGGTTCGATCGATCTGCGAATGCACGACTGCAGTGGGGGCAGGAAAACGGTTTCTCACCTAGTGAGCAAAGGGAAATCAAGTCAGTCCATGTGAAAAACATTAGCATTGGCTTCAACTTGCACAAAATGTATAAAAGTAAAGAAATTAAAGGGGTAGTTCACTTATTTCAAATTTAAATGAGATTCTCTCCTGTTAGAAGATGATATTTTGAAGAAACCTGGAAAATAAGATACTTTGAAGAATGCTGAAAACCTGTAACCATTGACTTCCATTGTTTTTCTAACAATGGAAGTCAATGGTTACAGGTTTTCAGCATTCTTCAAAGTATCTTCTTTCGTGTTTGACAGAAATAAGCAACTTACAAATGTTTCAGAACCACCTGAGAGTGAGTAAACACTCATTTTTGGGTGAACTGTTCCCTTTAATACATGTCATTTTCTCACCCGTGTGTGTTCTAATGTGTCCCTGCAGCAGCCAAGGCCTGGAGAAAGCTTTTCCACACATTTTACAAACGCACGGCAGCGTGTGTGTCCTTATGTGCATCTTTAGGGCTCCTAGACTCACGTATTCCTTCTCGCAGTACTTGCAGCTGAACGATTTCCGACTCTGTGCGTCGCAGTGCAGCTGTTTGTGCTTCATGAGTCCCGAATACGTGCTGTAGGACTTGTTACACAAACCGCACTGAAACTTCTCAGCGTCCGACAGCTTGGTGGATTGTATCCGCTCGTCTTCGTCACTTCTGGGGCTCTCCGAACCGCTGTGGTCCTTATTAGAGGATGTGTCAGAGAGAGATGAGGGGTATCCGGATATGGGGGACAGGTCGTGGGGAAGGGGCGACAGTGGCAGGTTGCTGGTAGTCCATACTGTTATGGGATTGTACGCCACCGGGCTTAACACTTCAGGCTGAGGTATAACAGGCACCGGGAGGGCTTTTAAGACATATGGAGAAATAAACACTGCAATTAAAAGAGAAATGCACTTGTGTTAGTTAAGTGTTTGGGTTACACACATATATTTTTAGATCTAAATGCATTAGCCATACTTTGACAGGTCACATTTAATCAAAATAGTCTTTTTATTTATTTTTTGTAACACTAAAAACTGACCTCTTTATGATTGTTAAGTAAAAGCATGAGTGATATAAGTGTTTTAAATTGATTGTTTCTTAATATAACTCTTTCTATTGTAACTAATGTAATGTAAAGATAATTAAAGGAGTAATTGGTTGTGCATGGGATTAATCTTCAGACATAAGTCTATATCTTTGGTATAAGTGTTGTGTCTATATCTTAAGTCCCAGTCTACACAGCATCTATGGTCCGTGTTATTATTAGAATCTTTTATTTCAATTAATTAATTAATATTTGCTATTTTCTAAAATGTTACAACAGAACTCAAACTGAGCTGAACTGCAAAAAAAAAAAAAAAAAAAACTGCAATATTTTCTTATTAAAGGGTCAGTTCACCCAAAAATGACAATTCTGCCCTTTATTTACTCACCCTTCACTTGTTCAAAACCTAATTGAGTTTCTATTTTCTGTTCGCACAAAAGGAGATATTCTGAAAAATGTTGCTAGCAGGCACCTTTTGACTTTGAAATGTTTCCTACTATGGAAGTCAATGGCTGCAAGCAACAAGCATTCTTCAAAATATCTTTATTTGTGTGAACAGAACAACAGAATTGGTTGTTAATCAGCTTGTTAATTAAAATAGTAGTTTAAGTTGATTATTTCCTAATATAACTTAATATAACTCTTTCGAATGTAACTAATGTAATGTAAAGATAATTAAAGGAGTAATTGGTTGTGCATTGGATTAATCTTCAGACATAAGTGTATATCTTTGGTCTATGTGCTGTGTCTATATCTTTGGTCCAAGTGTTATAATTTTAACAATACTTTATTAATTTGATTAATAATCAATATTTGCTTTAATTAGTTTATTTTAAATGATTCTGAAATATTATAACAGAACTCAAACTAAGCTGAACAGCAAAAAAAAAAAAAACTGCAATATTTTCTTATTAAAGGGTCAGTTCACCCAAAAATGAAAGTTCTGCCATTATTTACTCACGGTTCACTTGTTTAAAACCTAAATGAGTTTCTTTTTTCTGTTGAACACAAAAATAGATACTCTCAGAAATGTTGCTAGCTGCCAGCTATTATCTTTAAAAAATCCTATTATGGCTGCAAGCAACCAGCATTCTTCAAAATATCTTCTTTGGTGTTTAGCTAAATCATAAATCTTTAAAACCACATGAATAAGAGTAAATAATGAAGGTATTTTAATATTGTTGTGAACAATCCCTTTAACATGCATCTCACTGGTTGTTCTGTTCACACAAATAAAGATATTTTGAAGAATGCTTGTTGCTTGCAGCCATTGACTTCCTAGTAATAAACATTTCAAGTCAGTAGGTGCCTGCTGGCAACATTTTTCAGAATATCTCCTTTTGAACAGAAAAAAGAAACTTAATTGGGTTTTGAACAAGTGTAGGGTGAGTAAATTATGGCAGAATTTTCATTTTTGGGTGAACTGACCCTTTAATAAGAATATATTGCAGTTTTTTTGCAGTTCAGTTCAGTTTGAGTTCTGTTATAACATTTCAGAATCATTTAAAATAAACTAATAATTAAGACATTAAAAATAAATACTTAAGGCGAATAATAATTAATTAATTTAAATAAAAGATTGTTCAATTGATAACCAGCATTTGTACCAAAGATGTAGATTTATATCAGAGGCTTATTCCTATGCATTGCCAATTACTTGTTTAATTATCTTAGCATTACATTAGTTACATTACAAAGAGTTACATTAAGAAATAATCAATTTAAAACACTTATATCACTCATGCTTTTACTTAACAATCCTAAAGAAGTCAGGTTTTAGATTACAAAAATAAATAAAATAAAAAATTCAATAAGCACAAAGTCAATAGGTGCCTGCTTGCAACATTTTTCAGAATATTTCCTTTTTATGCGAACAGAAGAAAGAAACTCAATTAGGTTTTGAACAAGTGAAGGGTGAGTCAAGAAAGGGCAGAATTTGCATTTTTGGGTGAACTGACCCTTTAATAAGAAAATTTTGCAGGTTTTTGCAGTTCAGTCAAGTTTTGTTGTGTTTGTTACAATTCAAAATCATTTGAAATAAACTAATTATGGCTAACATTAATTAATTAATTATAAAAGGATTGTTAAAATGATAACACTTGGACTAATGATATAGACTTATATCTGAAAATTAATCACATGCACTACCATTTACTTCTTTATTTATCTTTACATTGAGTTACATTTACAAATAATCAATTTAAACCACTTATATAATATGCTTTTACTTAACAATCCTATAGAGATCAGGTTTTAGTACTATAAAAAATAAATAAAATAAAAAGACCATTTTGATTAACAAACATGGTTGTTCCGTTTTAAAAAGCATTCGGTATTAATGTACAACACAACTAAACAACCTCTTAGTAGCTAAATACAACTCTTAACTCTACCTAAGAGTTTTACCACACTTAGAAAAGTTAAAAAACTCAATCTTTTAAGTGTTATGCAGTTAAAATGACCAAATCCACAAAGTATTTTACCTGTCGGACTCTCCAGTTCACTATAATTCGGTTTCTTAGCTGCATTGAAATGCTTCTTTACTAGGAATGAACGAGGCATGCTGAAGTACGTATAAAGTTGTCTGGCAGATAAAAAATGGTCCTGTCTTGTCGTTTAGCAAGTCAAATCACTGTAATCCTCACTGCTCGTTCCAGCAGAGCCTCATCTTCCAGCGCTGATCTGCTCTAACACTCCGGCGCCTCGGTGCAAAATACAAGTAAATACTTCCAATCAGGTGCAAAGGGAGGGGATTGAGCTTGCATATTCAAGACCTCCGGGCCAATCAGAATGGAGGCGTGGTTTAAGGAGGCGGGGCCAAGAGGTCGAGGAAAGGAAGACAGGTGTTCACGCTCGGGATGCGTACTAAGGTGAAATAATGTTCAGACTTGTCACAGATGGTCAAAGCACACAGAATGTTGGAATGCGAATGTTCCTGATTGTCTGATGCAGGATTGCCCATCAAAACGATGATCCCTATAGGGAACTGATAGATATACACTGAAAAAAGATTCATTCGATTTACATTGGATTTTTTTTTATGTAGCTGGGTGTGAACAATTTATATGACAAATGTAAACAAATTATGTTAAACATTATTTAATTAGTTTGTTTAATTTCAGCCCAAATAAATTGGTTACTACTAGTTACCTTAAAAAATAGTAAATCCAATGAATAATGGATCATGGGTAGTCATGACATGTTTTTGGTTAATTGTAACTTATTAAACTAAGTTAATCATGTTCTGACTTAATTTTATAAGCTACGCAAGCTGGTTTAAGCCATTTAAAAATAAATTAGGTACAAATCAGCTTAAAAATTTGAGACAACCAGTATTGTTTTACTAGATAGATAGATAGATAGATAGATAGATAGATAGATAGATAGATAGATAGATAGATAGATAGATAGATAGATAGATAGATAGATAGATAGATAGATAGATAGATAGATAGATAGATAGACTGGATTTACTAATTTCTTTAAAGTTACTGGTTGCAAACATTTTTTTTAAACTAACAATGTTGAACATTATTAAAATGTATTTGTTTGTTCACATTCAGCCCAAATAAATTGTTTAAAACCAGTTACCCTAAAACAATTAGTAAATCCAATTAATATATTTTTTTCAGAATAGATATAGACAGACAGCCGGATGGACAGACGGACAGACAGATAGACAGACAGACAGACAGACAGACAGACAGACAGACAGATAGACGATAGATAGATAGATAGATAGATAGATAGATAGATAGATAGATAGATAGATAGATAGATAGATAGATAGATAGATAGATAGATAGATAGATAGATAGATAGATAGATATTTGCAAGTGTGTTTTTAATAACTAATTTCATATCCATTTGGTTATGTGTTTAAAGTTAAAGTTGGTAGATATATTGAAATTCAAAGTAAGTAGTTTACTTTTAAATTACAGTTCACTAGCGTCCTCTTGTGTTCAAGCAACTACAACTAGTTTTGCATGATTAATTTGTTATCTGGGACTTGTGGTCATGAGGTTAACCGGGTTTTGTGTAAATAATAAAAAGTCTGTATACAAACAGTAAATGTGTGTGAGAAGTAAATGCACACACAAATAAAATAGCAGCAGGACTTTCTGAAAATGTTAATGTTATTATTTTAAAATGTTTTAGGAAGATTGTAAGCGTGGTTAAGTTAAAATGGAAGGTTGACATGCAGAAGTAAGTACTTTTAAATTACAATTCTCTAGCGCCCTCTTGCGTTCAAGAAACCACAACTAGTTTTGCATGATTAATTAGTGATCTGGGACTTGCGGTCATGAGGTTAATCAGGTTTTGTGTAAATAAGAAATATTCTTGTATACAAAGAGGAAAGGCTTGTGAGAAGTAAATGCAAATAGAAATAAAAGAGCAGCAAGACTTCCTGAAAATAATAATGCTATTTTTAAAAATGCATTAGTAAGATTGCTTGCATGCTTTTGGAGGCAATTCATAATCAATAGGATACACCAGATCATATTTATGAAGAATTGGCATTGTAACAAATTCGTGATCATTTATTTGAGCTGTATATCTCCATAGATTGCATGTGTTAAGTTATTATAACGCTGTCTTTAAACGTGTGTGCTGTTAAGTCACTACATTTTCATGCTGAGAGAAGCCATTAGCACCCCTAAATTGGGGTTTACATTGATAGTTCTAGAGACAATTCATAAGGAGAGCAGTTTTCATACTTAATTAAGAGCCGGTAGGTCGTAATGGCTCTGTTTACTTCATTCAAACAACTTGAGACCAATATGTTTGACACGAAAATGACTTCAAAGTGTATAAAAAATATTATTTGGAAAAACCTCCTGTTCAAGGAGCATCAATAAGAGAAGGGAATAAAAGGTAGAATCAATAACCATCAAACAAAGATAAAGGATCACATAATTTCTGCGAATAAAGAGGAAGCACCTCTCAAAAGAGCCTCTTGTCTTGAGTAATTAAAACAGGCACACGCTAAGCAGATTTTCTTCCTCATCAGGGGAAAATTTTTAATTGTAAGCCAGATTTCTTATCTGCCAAAACTAATTACAGAAATTGAGGTAGTATCCTTTGTTCATGGTGCCGTAAAAGCAAGGGCATTCATTTCTCTGTTCTCAATGACGTGAATAAATTTTTCTGTGTTTCTGTCTGTGTGTGCATGTGTGTCACTATAAAGTGCTGCAGACTGCATTATAACACTGCATTTTGGCATCCCATGCTTGCTATTTGCTTTATTTGTTTGTGCATTGCATGTATTTGATTGTCAACTATAGATGTACACATGGATTGTTATGCTGCCAGATAAATATACAGATGAACAACAGAGCCTGGATCGTGTTTGCTGAGAGAGGGGAAATAAATGTGAGCGCAGCACAATCAGACTCCTTCACAACCTCTGGTTCAAGAGATCATAGAAACAGCTTTTTTAGATAAAGTGCATGGGAGAATACATGAATCCCAGTCTGATGACTCAATATGTTTTACATTAATGGAGACTGCATGAGCAGACCCTTTTACCCAAAGTGCTTTACAGTAGTTATTATCGAGACGGTCCCTCCAAAGGAACCTGAGGTTAAGTGCTTTGCTCAAAGGCACAATGTGATCGCTACTGATAACCCATTGTGAGAGACAAAATTGTAACCTTTTCATTATCAGACCTGATCTTTAACCGGTACACCATGTGTGCTGGAAATGAATAGAGAATCCATGTTGAAATAGATGTATGCTATGCTATAGGGAAGGGGTGTTAGTAAGCTGTGTTGGTGACAAAATTCAGATTAATTATCCATTTTATAATTGGCATTTGCATGTCAAATGATGGACAACTCAAAAAAGAGAGAGATATGATAGGGAAAGGGTGTTAGTGGGCTACTCAGATGATAAAATTCAGACTAATTGTCTATTTTATCATTAGCATTTGCATGTCAACAATGGAAAAAGAGAGATATAGGCAAGTAAAGGGCTGTTAGAAGGCTATTAGGTGAAAAAATTCTGACGAATTGTCTATTTTTGGCATTGGCATGCCAATGATGGACAACTCAAAAAAGAGATATAGGCAAGGGAAAGGGTGTTAGTAGGCTAGATGGCAAAATTCAGACTTGATATTCATTTTATCTGTAGCATTTGCATGTCAAAGATGGATAACTAAATAGAAGAGATATAGGCAAGGGTGTTAGTAGGGTACTTAGATGACAACATTGGTTAGTCAAACACTAATTGTCTATTTTTGGCATTGGCATGTCAATGATGGACAACTCAAAAAATAGAGATATGAGCTAGGAAAACGGTGTTAGTTGGCTACTTAGATGGCAAAATTCAAATCAATTTTATCATTAGCATTTGCATGTCAATGATGGACAACCCAAAAAAGAGATATAGGCAATGGAAATGGTGTTAGTAGGCTACTTAGATGGCAAAACTCAGACTAAAAAAATTAGACAACTCAAAAAAGAGATATATATGAAAGGAAAAGGCTGTAAGTAGGTTAATTGAATGACAATATTCAGATTAATTATCCGTTTTATCATTAGCATTTGCATGTCAATGATGGACAACTCAAAAAAGAGAGAGATATGATAGGGAAAGGGTGTTAGTGGGCTACACAGATGACAAAATTCAGACTAATTGTCTATTTTATCATTAGCATTTGCATGTCAACAATGGAAAAAGAAGGATACAGGCAAGCAAAGGGCTGTTAGATCGCTACTTAGATGACGATATTCTGACTAATTGTCAATTTTTGGCATTGGCATGCCAATAATGGACAACTCAAAAAAGAGACATAGGCAAGGGAAAGGGTGTTAGTTGGCTACGTAGATAGCAAAATTCAGACTTGATATCCATTTTATCATTAGCATTTGCATGTCAAAGATGGACAACTAAATAGAAGAGATATAGGCAAGGGTGTTAGTAGGGTACTTAGATGACAAAATTGGTTAGTCAACAACTAATTGTCTATTTTTGGCATTGGCATGTCAATAATGGACAACTCAAAAAATAGAGATATGAGCTAGGAAAACGGTGTTAGTTGGCTACTTAGAAGGCAAATTCAGATCAATTTTATCATTAGCATTTGCATGTCAATGATGGACAACCCAAAAAAGAGATATAGGCAATGGAAATGGTGTTAGTAGGCTACTTAGATGGCAAAACTCAGACTAAAAAAATTAGACAACTCAAAAAAGAGATATATATGATAGGAAAAGGCTGTAAGTAGGTTAATTGAATGACAGTATTCAGATTAATTATCCGTTTTATCATTAGCATTTGCATGTCAATGATGGACAACTCAAAAAAGAGAGAGATATGATAGGGAAAGGGTGTTAGTGGGCTACTCAGATGACAAAATTCAGACTAATTGTCTATTTTATCATTAGCATTTGCATGTCAATGATGAAAAAAGAAGGATACAGGCAAGCAAAGGGCTGTTAGATCGCTACTTAGATGACGATATTCTGACTAATTGTCAATTTTTGGCATTGGCATGCCAATAATGTACAACTCAAAAAAGAGATATAGGCAAGGGAAAGGGTGTTAGTAGGCTACTTAGATAGCAAAATTCAGACTTGATATCCATTTTATCTGTAGCATTTGCATGTCAAAGATGGACAACTAAATAGAAGAGATATAGGCAAGGGTGTTAGTAGGGTACTTAGATGACAACATTGGTTAGTCAACAACTA